GAAACTGCAAAACGCACACATAAAACAGGATAAACGAGGCGCCGTTTTGCAGAAATTGCAATGCTTTACGGGGCTCCATCTGCAATGAAACCCATCAAAGGGCAGGTTCATCCCCTGGTGACCACAGTTAATTGAAAATATAAGACCCAATCAAATCACCCAGAATTGAGATTTTTGGCAGCTTAGGTGCTTCACTATGAGATTCCTGCTGCTCTTTGCCTCTGCCAACCCTACAAGTGAAGTTGCAGGTTCCAATATCATCCACAACAGCACCGAGCTCTAAGCAAGGCACAAACAAAACGGTGTTCCCTCTGAACTTGATATTTTAAAAAGTGCACATGGTCCCCTTCCTGTCTAAGCCACCAGGTGGAATTGGGTCAACAGCCTTTCCCGAACTTATATTTGTTAAAAATCAGGTGAGTATCTTCTCTATGAAAAATAAGTACATCAAGTGCTACTTAAAAATCTCCTATGGCCAACACCATATGGACAGGGAACATTCTTATGTCCCTCTCCATGATAACACAAGTCTCCTAACAAGAATGTTCTGATTGGTGTTAAGGCCTATTTGTCTAGCACCTTGCAGTTTATAAGGCCTAAGAGCTTTGATGCCCAAGAGATCTAGGTTCAAATTCTGCCCGAGTCACTTCCTAGCACTGCACCTTTAGAAAAGTTACTTACCCTCTCTGAGTGTCTGTTTCCTCATCAGCTAAAAAAGGCATGAGGGTACCCATATGCTTCACTGGGTTACTGTGAGAACAAAATGACATAAGAAGCTACACAAAGACAAATGTTCACAGCAATTTAATTCGTAAACACCAAAAAACTGAAAGTGACCCAAATGTTCATCAACAGGTGAACAGGAAAACAAACTGTGCTACATCCATACAGGAGACTACTACTCAGCGATAAAACGGGAATGAGCTACCGACACACCAAGCAACATAAAAGAATCTCAAAGCAAGCTGAATGGAAAAAGCCAGGCCAGACTATTTATAGAAAGGTCTATAAAATAAAATCAGTGGCAGAAGGAGTGACAGAGATCAGATGATTGGTCGTCTGGGACCAAAAAGGTCGGGAAAAAGAAGGGATTACAATGGAGCGTGTGGAAACCTTTGGGGTGAAGGGAAGGGTCTGCATCTCGATGACATGGTGGTTTCACAGGCTTGAAATTCCTGCAGTGCAGCGGGCTTCAATTATACTTCAACAAAACTGAAAAGTTAGGGGAAACATCCGATCAGGGCAGAATACAATGCCCCATCGTAGGACTGAGCACACGGGAGGCTCTCGACAAATACTGGCTCCATTCTGGAACAAGAGCGAATAATCCCACTAGAACTTCTGGAAAAGGACTTGAGAGGCTGCCAGGGAAAGGACTCAGCACACGCAGCATTTCCTCGGAAGGCTTCCTAGAACCCGACCAGGCAGGACACGCTATGCTTAGCTAGAAAGCACGAACGAAAAAGAAGACCAGGAAGGTGAGCCAGGCCGGGCCTCTGCTCTCAAGAAAACAACATTAAGTGTGATATACGATGTAATAAAATGTCATAGGATGATACTGACAAACTATTGGCATACAGAAAAAAGTAATTCTGAGAGGATGGATGTCAAGAAGGAACAGGAGTCTGGTAAGCACTGAGGGGTGGGGCAGGTCCTGGGCTAATTGGGAAGCTGAGAAGGGAGGGTCCTGGGCACAGGGCGGGGGGAAGCAGGCAAGGCCAGGGCCACAGCACATGTTCTCCTGGACATAGTTGGGGAGGGTCTGCAAAGAGCCAGGCCACGCTGCAAAAAGCCCTGAGCGCCAGCAGGAACCTCCACTTCATTCACCCAGGGGAACCAGCCATAGGGCTCAGCATGATCACATTTGTTTTACACAAACACGTCCTATCTAGAAGGCAACTGAGCAATTTGGTGAGAGTTCTGGCATTCATATCTTTCAACTCAGTAATTCCTAAGGAAATAATCAGAAATGTGCACAAATATTTATGTCCGGCATGGCTTATCACAACATTATTTATAACAGCCCAAAGCCCAGAAATAACTCTAATATCCAATAAAAGTGGACTACTAAATAAATTATGGTATGCTGAATGATTAAATCATGTATAGTCCTTAAATCATATTTTTGGAACATACAGGCATGCCTCGCTATAAAACGTTAAGTTGCAAGGAAGCAGGATACAAAAATATACATTGAGTATTCATTCACCGAATATTTATTAATATCTACTATGTGCCAGGCATTGTTTTAAGTACTGAGATACAGCAGAGGATAAAACAGACACAGTCCCTGCACTGCACTCATTAGAAGGGCTTCTACCTCCTAATGAAGGAAAGCAGACAACAAATAAGGAAACAAATAATGATAAGCAAAATATACAGCAAGTAAGATGGTTAAGAAGTGCTGTGGAGAAAATTAAGAGGTGAAAGGGGTAGGGGTTGGAGGATAGACAGAAATTTTGTTTTCTTTTTCATTGCATTTTAAAGAGGAGGGGTGGAGAGAAAGATCGATGTGAGGGAAAAACAGATTAGCTGCTTTCTCACATGCGCCCTGACCAGGGATCGAACCTGCAACGTTTTGGTCTACAGGACAATGCTCCAACCATCTGAAACGCTGGCCAAGGCTAGGCAGAAATTTTAAATGGGTGGTCATGGAACGTTCCACAGAGAAGGGGGATAACAGTTTGAACAAGGGGTATATCCAGGAGGACTTCCAGGCAGAGGGAACAGGCAACGCAAAAGCCCTGAGGGGGCCTAGGGGCTTCCAGAAACATCAAGGCACAGTGTCAGAACATGCAGGACAAATGGCAGGAGCGCGGGGACAGCGGGACGCCGGGTCCCTCAGGGCGCGGGGAGCCACAGCAGGGCTGCGAGTCCTGAGAACCGTAGAAGGACAAGGGCAGATGCAGGGAGACCAGCTGGGGTTTCCTTAAATGTCTTCCTAACATTTTAGAATGGGTATCAGTTCATTTTATAATCAGGAAATAAGGTAACTCCATCAAAGAAAGCACAATGCAGGAAACAGTGTGGGTGCTATGAGTGGAGCACAGAGGGGCAGAGCAGCAGATGAGGAGGTTGGGGGGTAATTCAGATGGCGGGTGATGAAGCACTGGGAAGACGGGGGGGGGGGGTCAACCACAGTTAGTCTCCTTAATAACAAAAGAATACACCGCAGGGGTGGGTGTGTGTGCGTGGGTGTGTGTATACACAGACATATATATATGGAATATATGTGGCGTACTCCTTTTATATATATATATATATATATATATAAATGCAACGTGTTCCTTTTATATATATAACACATATAAATTCTTTACATATGTATGTTATATATATATATAATATATATATATATCCCCATAATCACAGCACCTTGACAATCAATTTTTAACATCTTCATATATTTCCTTTCACTCTTTCTTCCTACACATGCTTTTGGTTTCTTCCCTTAATCATTCTACATACGATACCTAGAATGTTGTGAGCCTTCACATATTCACTGAACAAATAATGGACAACCAGATACTCCAAATAATTTTGTGTTTGGATTTGTTCGTATTCTATTAGCCCTATTGGAAGCGGTTTGGGAAGTAGTTTTAATAGGCTTGGGTGACGTGACAAACGGAAACTGTGGGTGAGGAGAAGGCCTGGTCACAGAGGACTAAGGTGTCAAGTTCGACTGTTTGAGAAGATGGTGGTGACGTTACTCGTCGAAGGCGCCAGCAGAAAGCAATCTGATGAGGTAGTGGCTGCATGCGGTTTGGGGGACGTGGAGGGATGCGCAGAAGGTCCCCGCAGAGACACCCAGCTGTCCCTCTCTGCCGGGGCTCGGGAGGCAGACAGAGCCTCACTCAGCATGGAGGTGGTCACCGAGGAGGAAGAGGAGTGGCAGTAATACCGGTAATCCTACTACGTGCCACACCTTGAGCTTCCCTCTTCTGCTCGTCACGGCGGCCCCGTGAGGTGGATGTTCACGTGCTCACCTGCTAGCTGAGGGCGCTGCAGGCCTAGCCATTCGCCCAGCCACTCCGCAGCAGAGCCAGGGCTCACACCCACCAACACAAGGGCTTGTCCTGCTAATTCGCTTCTCTGTTACCAGAAATTTAAAATAGACTCAAAAGCCCAGGGAGGAAGTGTCTTAAGATGCTTTAGTTTTGTAGCACCTCGTTTTTGCTCACGACTTCCAGGCCCCTCTACACCCACTGCCCCCAAAAGAAGAATATCCCCTTCCTCTTCGGAAAACATACTTTACATGTTTTCCAACTTACAATGATAGTGTATTGAATAGTTCTTTTCATGTGTACACGTCTTCTCTGTCACGAGGTAAGCAGCTCCAGGAAATGTTTTCCCTGGAGCACCAGCCCAATAATCCGCATAGTGAGTGCTCCGCAAACGCTCTCGGATGACACCAGGGCCCCCCGCTTGCCAGTCAGCCCAGTGCCAGTGGGATGCTGGTGGTGGTAGGTGACCCGGAAACCCTCTGGCTCCGGTGAGGCAAAGCCAAGCCCAGATTGAGAAGCGCTCTTAAAAGGCGGTAGAACAGCGGGCAGGTGAATTTGGTTGGGTGGGCAGACCAATGCCCGTAGTAGATAAGGCAGATTTCTGTTTTCCACATGGCCTGGCATAAAAGACGGTCTGCAGACGGGTCGGCCCACGGGCCACATTCAGCCCACTCGCGCACTAGTTGGCTCGCGTACGGTTTTAATTTGTTATTGTTTGAATTAGTTACTATCTTTTAAAATGTGAAGGGATTTCCCATAAAAAATCTGGATTTACGTATGCAGTCCCTTTTTGTTTTTCTGGACAGGCCCACCCCTTTCAGCTTCCCACAGCCCTCCCCACCTGGCCCACGGTCCCATTACGTCCTTGTCAGCCCGCCCCAATCCCCCGCACCGGCCGGGTAGCCTCAGCCGAAGACCCTGCCCAGGGCCGGGCTGCAGTGTGAGGCTGGGTCCCGGCTCGCCGGTCACCAGGAGCACCGAGTGGCCCGTACTCACCAGCACTCAGGGTAGTGAACTCCAGGAAGCGGTATTCATAGGACACATCTATCTTGGTTTCCACCTGAGGCCTCTTCAAAGTTGAATAGATATTTCCAGGCCGTTTGTCATCGCGTTTCTCTAACTTGTTCAATCCGCAACCCATCTCCGCAGCTGCCAGCAAAAAGGGTAAAAAAGGAGTTGGAGGGTAATTATTTTTGAAATTTTGTTTTTAAACGTGATAGTATAAGAGATCTCATAGTTTCCCTGGAGACTACATGAAGGACCTCAGCCTTTATGGTATCTAGAGTATAATTTAGTATATGACCTGCATACCAGATGACTTGTGCTCAGTACCCAGGCTGGCTCCTCTTCTGTTAAGATATCATTACCAGCTATCCTGTGATTTTTTTTTTTAAATGACACCAAAAGTATACCTGCTCTATAGCTTTTTCCCGTGTCTGAGGACAATAATACCTCAGAGAGCCTCAGTTCCACTATGATCTGTACGTGTGATTTAAAAACAGGACCTAAAAAGCCATACGGTACATTACGGTGTCAGCCCGTCCTAAAATAAGAGGAAGGAGCGGGGGAAGGTGTCACCTTCACCACGGCTACTAAAAGAAAATAATAAGTTGTTGTTACAATTTCCAAACTCCAAAGTCCTTTCTATCCTCAACAGCAATTATTTAGACAGGAATTTATATTCATGAAATATCTCTAAAAGGAGAGGGCAGTGTTTTTACGGGCCTTGTTTCAGGTCCCCCTTTTTCCTTTTTTAGACCAAACCACAGGAATAATACCATGCTTCCACACTCTTACAGAGTCATTTTAGACCCAAATAAAAACTGGCTGAACACTAATAGCAGGGCTAGAGAAATTGGAAGCAGAAATCCACGTGTATCAGAGTGAAGATGTGTAGCCCCAGTTTGAAAAGAAAATGGGAAAATGTTAAAATAATGTGAATATGAGGGTAGCTGGGCTTTCAGTCTTCCAGGGGGTGAAAAACAATGAAGGGTCTTTGTTTATTTGGGCAGAGTGACATTCATGAAATGACTTCTTATCCCCTCCCTCGTCCCCAGACTTCAGTGGAAGATATTTTCCTTTTGTGCACCAAGCATGACCAATACCTCCCCTCTCCCGGGGGTGCTGGTGCTGCCATCAGAACATATTTCACAAAAATTTTAACTGGCCAAGAATATCACAAACAGAAACGGGGTAACCACTTCCTTTTAGAGATAAGAATTTCCTTTTGCTCCATCCATTCACAAGGCACCCAGCTTCCTAAGGCATTCTGGCAAGATCCAGAAAAACAAAATGAACCTCCAAAAAGGTGGTGGAGCGACAACCAGGCTATACTTTTCAGTAAGTTAAAAAAGGCTGGAAGGATGGATGAGAACAGGAAGGCTTACTTATGCCTTAATAAGGGAACATTAGCGTCCAAAGGGCCAGAGCAGACATGATTTATGTGCAATCTGCATGAACTGATTACTTGTAAAATACTCTACTTCTGCAAATTTAATGGCTGATTTGTACAGAGGCTGCATATTTAACTGCTAAAAGCAAGCCGGCTGGCATCTACTTGGACAAAGCAGAAGGAAAGTGGATTGGGGAGGCTCCTAAGTACTGGGGACCAAGTAACCCTGGTGAGATGAGTACTGTTACCACTAGAACAGAACCGGAAATAACCCAGAGGCTCATCAAGTCACTCACTTCCTGAGAAGGACTGAGTGTCTGAGGATCTCCAAAAAGGAACCTCTTCCTCCAAAATCCTCCCATTCTTGCAATTCTGTTAGGAAAGTCCTAGCATTAGAGACTCATTCCTTTGAAATTAGAATCGCTCTACCTTACAGTCTCCTTGGAAATGACAAGTACCTCCATGGGAAGGGTAACAAAGCTCCAGCCCTGACTGCTGTGGTTCAGTGGGTTGAATGCTGGCCTATAAACTGAAAGGTTATCAGTTCAATTCCCAGTCAGGGCACATGCCTGGGCTGGGGGCCAGGTCCCTAATCACCAACTGACAAGTCACCAACTGATGTTTCTCTCACACGTCAATGTTTCTCTCCCTCTCTCCCTTCCTCTCTCTCTGAAAATAAATAAAATCTTAAAAAAAAAAAAAAACCCAAAACACAAAGCGCCAGGTAGCCACTAACATTTTAGTATGATTTAAATTCTCCCATATGGGACCAGTTCTCTGACCGCAGAAAAAAAAAGAAGCGGGTTACCAAGATGAGTAAGAAAGACTCAGACAAGGCTCAGGCAGGTGGTGGCGGCGGAGGGGGAGCAGTGCCAAGGAACATTAGAAAGGTTCTTCCAATTCGAAACTCTGAGTTAGTTTCAGTCAGACTGTTCCAAGCTTGAGGTCTCTACCCAAGTTCACCCTAAAGGGCACTGTGCTCGTTTCACAGGATATGATGCGGCGCTAAGCAAATCATCAATGGGATCAGACAGAGATGAGATAAGCAGTACCAAACAGTAGCAAAACTGTAAGATCAGTGAATCCATGGGGTCTCAAACTTTAGAGACTCCTTTCTTTGGAGCATGTGCAACCCTGGTTAAGCGCCTGCTCCTACAGCACAACTCTCTCTGGAAAGGGAGACAAGCAAAGAAGTTGCTGGCCCCCAAAACCTTAGTGTGCATTTGCACTTCTCACTCTTTTGTGTCCAGAACCCTACTGGCACACCTGCGTTCCTCTCAGCTCATTCCTTCATTCTTCCACTAACCCCTGCCGCCCACCGGCAAAAGAGAAAAGCCTTTTACACCATTCCAAAAATATCTATATTCAGTCACTACTGTGCTGAAACAAGCCACAAAAATGTAGCTTACAAAAGGAGGAAAAATAAGACATTGTATAATGGCGCCTTACGTTATTGCAGAGTTTTGTAAACTTTACCGTTCACTATGGGAGGTTCCCAAGTCGTGCTCCTGTTAGAATCTCATAACATGCTTGGGGCAAAGTTGGGTGTGGGCCTTTGAGAGAAGGGAAGAGTAAGGGGAACAGGGTTGCCCAATGCAGGCAAGATGGTTTCTGGGGTGGCTGTGCATCCCCTCACGCAGAAGACGTTCAGACTCATCTTCCTCGGGGGTCAAAGTGTCTAGCTAGTCAGACAGAAAGTAAATGATAAACACAATGGTTTTTAAAGGTGGCGCCCAAATCCTCTGATGCCGCTGTTATTCCGGTGGGGTCTACATCACCCCGTCTGAGTCGGGGCTCCACGACTGCTTGACCAACAGAACATGGCAGAAAGACACAGAGCTGGCTCCTGGATCCGGGACTCAAGGAACTGGGAGCATCCACTGCCTGAGCCTTGGGATGTCTATTCTTGGAACCCAGCCACCCTGCCAAGAGGAAGCCCAGGCAGCTCCAAGGAGAGGCTCATGTGGAGAGGAACCAAGAGCCAGCCCCAAATTGCCAGCTACCCAGCCAGGGAGCCACCTTGGTAATCGAGCCTCTACCTCAGTTAAGCCACTGACACCACATGGACCAGAGACCAGCTGTTTCCATCAAGACCCGCCAAAGCTGAAGGTCCTGGGCAAAATACACCAGTAGTGCTGTTTAAAGCCTTTAAGTCTTAGGATGACTCATCATGCGATCTGTAACTTAAATCCCAAGATTGCTCCAAATGACCACAGCCTGCCGCCTCCTTGGTCAACCCAAGGTTGAGGCTGGACTGCATTTAAGGGCCCTGTTTTAGCCACTTGCCCTTGGGGGGATATCTAGGTTGTTTCCAATTTGGGATGATGAATAGGGTGGCTATAAACTTTCATGGAGAGGTTTTTATGGGCTTAAATTTTCTCTTCTCTAAGGTAATACCTAGGAGTGAGATTGGTGGGTTGTAGGGTAAATGCAGGGTCCTGTCAATGAAGAATAATTCCCTTTACACACTCAGGGTGGCCAGATGCTGACTCCACAGGAGGCATGGCAGAAGGTGAGATGCTCTTAGAGGCCAACGGTTGGCCCCTCCACCTCCTGTTCACTCTGTGCGGCCTTAGTTCCCTGAGTGAAATCATGAGCAGAAGTGCTACTCAGTTACGTCTCCTTTTGTTGTCATTGCCTGTTTTTGGAAAGGACACATGCTAAAAATCACCTGTGTGTGTCAAAATTTTCCCAGTGCTTTTCTGTGGCCGACCCAACCCCTACCGCTCCTGCCCTTCCAAATCTGTATAGTCACTTCACATTGGCACCTACTGGAAATCAGGTTATGTGTTTTATGTGTGAGCTGATCGTTGGATCAGCTTTGATTATTTGACAATCATTCAGGAGGCTTTTTTTTTTCTTCTTTTTATACCTTTGTCTTCCCAGAAGACATCCCTGGAGCAATGCGCATAGATCTCTCTAGCATTAAGGTACCAAGAAAAACCATCCAAGAGCTCTTGAAAAGCAGATGAAACAGAGGTCTTTTTCCATTCCTATGGTGAGACAGCAGGAAAAGAGCCAAAACATACTTAGGCCCTAGCTGGTGTGGCTCAGTAAACTGAGTGCCTGCGAGCCAACAATTGCTGGTTTGATTCCCAATCAGGGAACACGCCAGGTACCCAGTTTGGGAGGGTGGGGGGATGTGTAAGAGGCACCCTATCAATGTATCTATCGCACATTGATATTTCTCTCCCTTCTCTTTCTCCATAATAAAAAAAACCTTAATTAATTACATTTTTAATTTATTTAATTTTTAATTATTACATTAATTACATTGTATTAATTAAATACATCTTTACTAACAAATAAAATCTTTAAAAAATAGACTTAGAGTTATCTGGCAGAAATTGGCTATAAGTAATCAGGAACTAGATGCTGACTAGGCAAGAAAATAATCATCAGGAGGTTCTGAGATCCAACTGCAACGAGAGGACGGACATCAGACATTACAAGTGACCAGGAAGCAAAGACCCCTCAGACAGTGACATTCTGGAAAATCTATTCTTTCTGCATTAAACCTAGAATGGCGAATGGTACATGGCAGACCAGCTTCCTGCCGAAACTGTCAGCTCCATGAGGAAGGGAACCTTGTTCCAAATTCATGCATTTGTTAAGGTCTGCTTGGAGTCAGGTGCTCAATTAGGAAATACAAAAATGGGAAGACCAGGCCCTGCCCTCGAGGAGATGGCAGGGGCAAGGAGGAGAAAGACAATGGACAGATAGCCGCCTGCGGTGCAGGGAGGCTGGCTGTTCGGGA